AATTTTCTCAAATTAAATTGCAATAAAACTGAAATCCTCCTTCTTGGCACCAGAACTACTCTTTCTAAAGTCAACAGCTTCACCCTCACCATTGACCTTTCCACAGTTTCCCCCTCCCCTCAGGTAAAGAGTCTGGGTGTCATCCTTGACAGCACACTCTCCTATCACGCTCATATAAACACTTTAACCCGCACAGCCTATTTCCACCTCCGCAACATCAACAAACTCCGCCCCTCCCTTACCCCTCACACCGCCGCTATCCTTGTACACAGCCTCGTCACTTCCCGCCTCGATTATTGTAACTCCCTCCTCTACGGCCTCCCCCAAAAGTCTCTCCATAAACTCCAGCTAGTCCAAAACGCAGCCGCCCGTATCATTACAAAGACCCCTTCCCACCATCATATCACCCCTGTCCTCCAACATCTCCACTGGCTCCCAGTTAAATACCGTATCAATTACAAACTTCTCCTGTTCACCTACATGGCCATCCGTAATCTGACCTATCTGACCTCCTCCACGTCTTAACCCCCACTCGGTCCCTCAGATCCTCCTCCTCCATCCACCTCTCCGTCCCACCCGCCCGCCTTAGTACTATGGGAGCCAGAGCATTCAGTCGCTCTGCTCCCCATCTCTGGCACGCATTACCACCCGACCTCCGTAACTGTGTCTCTCTCCCCACCTTCAAAACTCACCTCAAAACACACCTGTTCCGGACAGCATACTCCCTCTAACCTCCCTCCTCTGTGCTTTTGTTTATCACTGATTTTAAACATGTTTCTATGCCCTGTTTTAAATTATTATCTGTTCTTTATTTTATTTCTATGCCCTGTTTTAAATTATTATCTGTTCTTTATTTTATTTCTATGCCCTGTTTTAAATTATTATCTGTTTTATTATTTGATGTAAAGTGTCCTTGAGTGTCCTGAAAGGCGCTTTTTAAATAAAATTTATTATTATTATATTATTATTACTTAAACCTGGCAGAACACGTGTCCAGGCCCTCTGTGGATTTGCAGTACCTCCACCACCTGGAGTAAAGGAACAACTTTGGAAGCTGCTGAACAACAGGATACAAGACGATGTATATTTTGCTGTCAAATCTGATGCCTGTATAATGGAGTATGGTGAGCATTTGTACAACAGGCTTGGACACGATGTCAGTAAACATGAGTACATTCGTCAGAAATTGAGAGAGCTGGGAAGGCTTCTGATATGCTCAAGGAAGACCACTCCCCTGAGGACCATTCAAGGTCACATCAAACCTGCGAATTTCATGCATGTTGTTCAAGCTGCAAAAGAGATGGCAGGCTACGGTTGTGAAACAAATGTGTACAAGTGCCCAAGTCTGGCTCTCAGAATCGGATACAGCTTGAAAAAGATTTCATTGCTTGTTGAAAGCCGTGCAAATGTACAGAGTGACTACAGTGCAGCAAAAGATGCTCGCGCATTCCGTCGAGTGTATGAGACCAGATGGAATGAACTGATATCATCTGCATCACTTAGAACACTCCAGGAGTCTAAGTGGAATACCCCTCAGTTGGTTCCATTCACAAAAGATGTCCAGACACTCCATTCCTATTTAGATGCTCAGCAGCAAGATCTTTTCAGCAAACTGTCCTCAGAGACATCACACCAGACATATACCGAACTCACAAAGGTCACTTTAACACAAGTCATTTTGTTTAACCGACGAAGAGCTGGGGAAGTGTCCAAAATTCCGCTTTCTGCTTATTTATCTCACAATCCATCAGACCCACAGGAGGATGTTAACGTTGCACTCTCAGATCTCGAGAAGAGACTGTGTCAGCATTTTCGGAGACTAGAAATCCGAGGTAAAAGGGGGAGAAAAGTCCCTGTGCTTTTGACCCCAGCCATGCAGCAGGCATTGGATCTGCTCATCAGAAAACGGAAGGAATGTGAGATCCTCCCAGAGAACACCTACCTTTTTGCAAGACCATCCAGTTTGATGTGCTACCGTGGGTCTGATAGCCTTCGATATTCTGCCAAGGTCTGCGGTGCCAGGACCCCTGAAAGTCTGACTTTGACAAAATTGCGAAAACAAACAGGAACCTTGTCCCAAGTCCTTAACCTAACCAATACAGAGCTGGATCAACTTGCTGATTTCCTGGGACATGACATCAGAGTGCACAGACAGTTCTACAGACTCCCTGAGGGCACGCTACAGCTAGCTAAAATTAGCAAAGTGCTAATGGCTCTTGAGCAGGGGCGTCTGGCAGAATTCAAGGGCAAGTCCCTTGATGACATTAACATTGATCCTGAAGGTACCACATATTTAATTTTTCTACATAAAAATAATCTGGTTTTATGGATTTATTTGCTTTGGCATTATTTGAGTGTGTGAGGATCAAGTGATGAATTTTTCAGTAGTTTTTTTCCCCATTTCCTCCCTCTCCTCTTCCTATCCACAGAGAATGTGCACCTAGACAGTGACCACGAGAGAGACCCTGACGCTCCATGTGACCCTGAGGCAGCCTATGAGTCAGACTCACTCGGTGTTTTATTTTTTTTCTTTTCAATATCAACCTAAATCTGTCCATTGTCATCTATCTAG